TCTTCATTAACAAAAAAAGCAAAATTCACGAAAATACTACTGCATCCTTAAGATTGGTGTCCCAGTGGATAATTTACTTTCAGTGTCAAAACATGTACTGCATTAATCTATGAGTGTATCCACTCATGATGAACTCAATCAGTGTCCATGTGGATGTAGCTTACTCTCATTCAGGTTACAGGACAATCTTACTAATGTCTAATATTGCTAGAGACTAAAATCAAATGTAATAGGTTGACAAAAACTGTCAGTGGAAGTGATTGGGTAGATATAGTTAAGGGCGAGCTTTTATTCATAACTTAATTTGCATAATTTTTATTTCTGTTCAAATTGTAGTCCCTGTTGAGATTCAAGAAGGTCAGTCAGTAGTGACGGCATCACGTGGTGAGACAGTACAGCTGAAATGTCATGCAACAGGAGTTCCTAAGCCCAATGTCTATTGGCATAAAGGCAGTGTTCGTTTACCGGCGGGCATCCCACGCTTTTCTCAGATACAAGATGATTCTCTGGAGATAAGTTCTGTATCATTGAGTGATGCTGGTGATTATGTATGCACTGGAGTTAACAATGTGGGAACTATTCAGAAAAAAACTATTACACTTGTAGTTCATGGTAAGTTTGATTTACTCTTTTTTTTAAACCACACTTCAGCTATCATCAGGGGTCAAAATAACCAATCTTATGAAAATAAGAGAGTGGGAATACGGTGTCTTTTCATTTAGTAAGTTGTCTATTCCAGTATTCTGAATATGAAAATTTGAATTGTCTTAGTTGTCATCATCAGCATTTGAATGAAAGAGGCCAAGTTCTTTAATATTTTAAAAACATTAGGAAACACCACACTATTTTTTACAGAAACTTATTTCTTTTGACAAATTATGTTATATATATTTTGAGTTACAGTGAAGACCACCAACATTTTGTCGTTGAGATTGCTCTGAATCTAGTAAGATAAGAACAACTGTTTACCTTCTTTGTACTGGCAGACTTTGTCTACAGTCCTGACATATTCACATATAAAAATGATGTAAATAGGTAAATACTGTAGACAAACAAATATTTGAATTATATGTAATATGTTCTAATCTTACAACATCCAGTGCAATCTCAATGAACAAATTTTGTTGGTTTCCACTGTAATACATGTATGTGTCTGTGCCTCAGTTTTCTGCATCATTATAACAAAAGTATAGTTTTGACACAATGAAAATATAGTGATCATCATTTTCATAGTTTATATCTTCACAAGGAACCCAAGGATAATATATATCTATGATACATCAACATATTGTGTAATTGATTTTCAGCTGATGTAGATATCATATCAGGACCACTAGATATAACTGCTACAGTTGGTGATATCATCACATTAACTTGTCAAGCCACTGGGTCACCTCCACCATCAATCAAATGGTCAGTCAATGGTGTACCTGTCGCTAAAGTTGGTAGATTTATTGTTCAAGGGAATGGAGACCTTTACATTACAAGTGAGTTATTGGTTAATGTAGAAATCTACTCTTGATTTTTGGGAAGTTTTGTCATGAATTGAATTGTTATGTTATGTACAGTACAATCATGGAGATATATAGTTCTACCTTGGTAGGATATTCTTTTATCCGTTGCATTTTGAGAAATTTAACATACTATAATTAGAATATTTCCAGTGTTGTAGAATATCCCTTTTCCAAATCCAACTTTTGAAATAATTCAAAAAAACACGAATACCGAATTAGTAACAATATACTGTGTAAATACATTAATTATTCACTGGATTTTAATTTCACAATTTTTTTCGCTGATAAGTAAAATCTTCTTAATTAAATCTACATGAACATGTAAAATAACAATAAAACTCATGAAATTAAAACACAATGAATATGCTCAAAACATCAAAATAGTGAAAGTAAATGTCTGTGAAAATAAATGATTTTACAGCATAGTTTTTCCCGTTATGTCACCAGTTTAAGATGTAAATTTGAATTTCTCAACAGACTGGTGTCTTCAAAATTTTTTTGAATCAATATTCTTATATTTGCTGAGAGTACAATTTATTCTCAATCCAACCAGCTGGCGTGTGAAGCCAAGGAAACTCTGGCTATAAAATTCATTTTGAAATACGTGCCCCATTTTAGAAATATCTCATATTTGGAATTTACATTTCCTAATAAGGTATTATGCAAATACCCTATTCAAAATTCTAGAATGGTGTAACTTGTCAATTTACATGGACAGTACAACACGCAATCCAACAAAGATGACATAGTATATGAAAGCATGCAAATATAATATTGTATAGTTAGTGCTATCTGAAAATAAACAAGACTGGGGGATACAGACTCTTTTTTTTGTAAAGAATCAACAATTTTAGTATTTCTCTCTATGTTAACACATGGTCACTAGTTCTTGCATGAATACATAGAGCAATTGAACATTCTTAAATAATGTACAGGGTGTCCTTGGATCATGTTCCATAAATAAATTTTATGTAGTATGAATTTAATATTACTAAAAGCGTCACATGACATGGATTTCTCATTAACATCCTTATTATGTATTGTTTTCAGGTGTTCATAAAAGTGACAGTGGTGTGTACACATGTACTGCTGCAAATGGTAGAAATACTGTCAGTGCGTCTAGTGAAGTCACTGTCACAGGTCAGTCCACATTCATTTGATGTCAAATATTCTGGTATCTGCCCAGTGTGGAGTCATAAGGAAGCCACACATAGGCTATAAAACTAATGTGTCTTGATGTACATTACATAGTTTATGGTGATGTACTGTACAATATATCAGCAAAATTTAATTTTCGTTTCAAGGACATTTTCACTGATTTTTGAGGAGTTAAATGTAAAATATATTCACTGGGTTTTTATTTTCACTGAATCTGTTCTTTAGCAAAAATTTGCAGTGATCTACACTACATGATGTATGTATGGCCTTGACAAATGCTTTCCATCTATATTGACAACTGTTTTATTCTGGTATTCATACACCTCATCTTATCATTACTGTATTTATGAAGTATTTCTATTTGCCCAATATTCAATATTGCATTTCACTAAAAAAAACAAGTTTTAAAAAAAAGAAACGTTCTCAATTTCATTATATCATGTCTTTTAAATTTCAGGTGCTCCAGTTGATCCGAATTGCAAGGATGACAGTGAATTTGCCAATTGTAAACTCATCTTAGCTGGTAACTTCTGTTCTAATAAATACTATGCACGGTTCTGCTGTAAAACATGTTCTGATAATGGATTTGTATAGAACACTTGAAAACAAAAAAATATAGATGTGTACAGTAAGATATCTTTATTAATAATCAACCAACAGTAAAATTTATTATTGAATATCTGTAACACTCTGAAACATAGTTTTAAATAATTTTTAAATCAGTTATAGTATGTATTTTTAACATGATTTTAAGTAACATAATACATTCCAATTTTTAAAAATTTTACAGCTGTTTCAATTTACTCTACTTTTTTTTTAACTTGATTGCCTGAATATATACATATCTATACATTTTTACATATAGTGATTAAGAATATTTTCAAAGGATAAAATTAATTGAAGTGTGTGAAATCATGTATTAAATTTTTAATAAGATGTCATTCCCACAATAAAAGTAGTGCATTTCTGACAATTTTTTTATATTTCTTTATAATGTATCTGTTTTTCACTGCAACCAATGTATTATAAGGTATAAGGTGATTAATTAGTGCAGTGCAAGCATTCTGAAATAACATTGAAAACAACTTACTGAGTATGTCAAGTTTAACTAGCATACCACCATGTTATAGACAATTATTAAAATGTTATGTTTAAACTTGTTAAAAACATGAATTTGTCAAAAAATAATTAATAAATAATCACAATTACTCTTTATGTTGTCACAGTCTGGTATGTGTAAATATATGTATGTACAATTGTTCTCTGTATTGCCATAGTCTGGTATGTGGAGATATATGTATGTACAATTGTTCTCTGTAATGCCATAGTCTGGTATGTGGAGATATATGCATGTACAATTGTTCTTTGTAATACCATAGTCTGGTATGTGGAG